TATTTAAATTATATATATTATATAATATTATATAATTTATACATATATTATAAATGCGTACGAATAATTTTTCTATTTTTATATATCAATATATATCGATATTTTGTAAATTCAGTGTTTGACTTTTATGTAAAAGTGTGAAATGTATTAAAATTTTATTAAATACAAATATATAAAATTATATACTGTATATATATAATGTATGTATCAAAATATACATTTATCAAATTTAAAAACTTCTAATGAATATAAATGTTTTTAATAAAACAAAAGTTTAATAATCAAAAATATAGGTTATGTTATATTATTATGTTTTATATACTCGTAAATAGGAAAATCTAATTTTACAATAAAAAAAATATAATTTAAGATAAAATTTTAAAATCTCCATATTAATAATAATAAAAAAACATGATTTTTGAATAAAAAAACATCATGTGGAATAATATAAAAATAAATAACGATACTTATATGATTTCTATTACATATAAAAATGATACAATCAAAGTTTTTTTAACTAATCTTATTGAAATATGGATAGAAACATTAACAAAAGAAATTATTTTAGACAGATGTCGGGTAATTATTAAAGTATTATACAATAAAAAAAATGTAAAAACAAAAACATGACTTTACATTTTTATAATTAATTAAATTTAATTTTATAATATTTTATTTTAGAAATTAAATCCACTTTTAAATGTTGAAGCTATTGATTACAATGATATTATATTGAACATTTTAAGTAATATGTCAAAATATATTGTGGAAGCATCTATAGAACATATAAAATTACGAGCTCAAATAGATGGTGGTTTAATGAAATTTTATATAAATTTAGAAAAAGGCACATCTCAAGATTTTTGGGAAATTATAACTAAACCTTTATATATATCATCAATGGAAATTATTCGTCAGCATAAAATTCTTTTAGATTTAATAAAAAAAAAGGATGAAGAAATTGCAGAATATAAAGCAGAAGGCGCTGAGTTAATAAGAAGTATGTTATTTTTTTTTATATTAAGTATATTATATTAAATATATTACTTTAATTTAATACACATTTTTATATTTATACAGAGAATATTGAAACAAAATTTTTTACGGAGGAACAATTTAAAATAGATATTCCTATACCAAATATTACTGATTATACAAATACATTCCAAAGAATGATGAGTTTTTATAATGAACTGAATTTCTATAATATAACATTTAAAGAATCAACAAGGTATTCTTTATTATTATTATATGTATTATATTTATTATAATTAAGTTATTATATTAAGTTATTATATTTATTATAATTATTCATAGTATTATATATAATAAATTCTTTATTAAAATGATTTCTAATAAAAATAATTATAAAAAAAGTTTATAAATAATTTTATAATTTAAAGAGCTTATGATTTATTATAGCAATGATCATAATAAAATACAGCAAACAGAAATATTGAAACAAAATTTAACAAGTTCAATTCAAAATGACATTCCTAATGATAATAAAAATATATCTAATATTGAGGATATGAAAAGAAATATAGCAAATAGCTTTTCAGAAAATAAAAAGAAAAGTAAAAATATAACTAATAAAAAAGTAATTAATAAAATTGGAACTGCAAATTTGACATATAGACCTGTCAAAATATTAAAAAAAGGTTTGAATGATTCTATCTTGTGAAATATGGTATTCAAAGTATAAAAAATTAATTTAATATAATATATTCTATAATATTCAGAGGAAAGGGTAATTTTTGTAAAAATATATTATTTGAAATATTTTTTTTTTTCGATTTTATATTTATCTATCTACATATACGAAAAAAACTTAACAATTAAAGCAAATTAATTTATTTTAAATTAATGATGCATCAAATATATTCTAAACTATCAATATAAGTAGATATATTATGTATTTTATAATAAAATTAATGTTGATTATTTAGTACTCAAAATGTTATTAAAGAAACAAGATTGTGTGAAAATAAAATATTAGCAAAAAATATGATAAAATAGAAATTGATATTACATTGGAAAGCAGTTAAGATTGTCGAAATTTCAAAATATATATATCGATACAATAAAAAAAGATTTTATATTACATGATAGATAATAAAAATGAAATTACAAATTGATGATAATAATAATAATGTAGTAAAATAAATTGTAATTTATTATAATTATTTGAAAGGGTATTAAAAAAAATATGTAGATAAAAGTGATAAAAGACTTTCGTCTGAATATTATTGATAATTTTGAATTTAAAAATTATTAGGAAAATACTTCTTTTTATTAGAACTTGAACATCTACCTGAAATGTTACCTAGACGAGGAAACAATAAAATAAAAAGAAAAAGATGTCGACAATGCACTGCTAATGGTTTACGAAAAGAAACTAATTATTTCTGTCCTGGCTGTAAAGATAATCCTGGTTTATGTTTAGGAAAATGTTTTAAAGAATATCATAAATTTATATGATATTTAATATTGTGTATATGTCAATTTTTTAGATTTTATTCATTATTTTAACTTTTGCATATATTTTTGCACATTATAATTTCTTTATTTAGTACATAAAAGAATTTACAACCCAGTTTTGACTTTTTTAATATATGGATTGTTTATAATAATTACTATTTATAGTAATTTATAATATAATCTATATATATATATATTAACTAAAACATTATCAAATTAAATTTAATCAATTCATATAAGATTTTAAGCCCTTTCCCTGGATATTACTCCAATTGTAAATATATTATTTATATCAATAAATTTATTATATTCATTAATTGTATTATAAATAACAAAATTGTAAATTTTGAAATATAAAATTGTAACGATGCATAAATATAATTATTTTATTTATATGAGATTTATAAAAAGAAAAAAAAAACATGTAATAGAAAAATATATAATATATATAAAAATATATATTAGTATAATTTATTTTTTACTTATATTATTTATATTATTTTTGCTTATTATTTAATATTTTGTTAAGAGTTTAAATAAAAAGATTTAGATTATTAAAGACAAAACAATTAACAAAAAAAACCGCTGGGCTCGTCCGGGATTTGAACCCGGGACCTCTCGCACCCTAAGCGAGAATCATACCCCTAGACCAACGAGCCATGTTATATGATTTGTTTGTTAATAGAGATATCTTCCTTAATGGCGGCTTCATCGTTGATTCAAAGTATTATCACTCTTATTATTTAATGATAATTTCTCATCGTATAGTATCATATATGCAAGATGGCGGAACAGAACCAACAAGATTTTAATAGAAGTGCGTTGACAGTTCGATATGGACGGGTAATCAACATATACTTTTATTAATATATGTTTAAAATGTTATTTTAGTAAATTCTAAATTTTAATATAAATGGATTATTGTAAACGTTTTCAAAAATCTAGGCTTGGTACACAGGACAACGGGCAGAAAAGATACCTGGAGGATTAGTGGGTGTCGTTGGCGATAATTGTACAAGTTTAGATCTGTCTTATAATGAACTAACCTCCATCACTGCTGTCAAATTCTTCGAAAACCTACAGGAACTGATACTCGATAATAATAAACTTCGGGATTTAAAGACATTACCTCGTATACTAAATTTGACCACTCTCAGTTTAAACAATAACAAGGTTTGTTTTACTTATTTTATTAATTTTTTTATTATTGAAAAAGAATATTTTGATGAATTAAAGTTATTATTGATAGAAGATATTGATATAGGATAGAAATGAATTATTTATTTTATATGCATTAAAAAATTAAAGTTTAAATGTTTTTCCAGTACTTTTTTAATTCTGAAGATCTAATTTTTTGCTGTTATTATTTTCAATTATTTAACATTATATCAAACTACTTATAAAACATATTTGTGCATATGATATTAATGTAAAAATTTATTATTTCTTTTTATTGAAACATGTAATTAATAACATAATTTTCGTTATGTTTATTTTTAAGTTGTTTTATGTAAGTTTTATTTCAATATATTTATTTCAATAAGTTTTAATATAATATTTCGTTATCATTATTTCATAAGAAAATATGTGTATTTATCTTGTTTAAATGCTATAAAACATCTATTTATAGTAACTTAATATCATATATAATCATTTTGAAATTTATAATGAATTCTATTCTAATTTGATTTAAATTTCTTATTTTTGAAATGAATTTATATTTAAAAATACGATATTTATAAATAAGATAAAAATATCAATTAATTAATCGATCAATAATTTTTAAGGTTAAGAATTTATTTTATGTACTATTATTTTTAAATCATTTCAAATAATGAACAGTTGAAAAACAGATTAAGTAAATATCATACATCTGTTATTGCATCATACTACATATTTTTATTGTAATTTATTATGTTTTTTACTAAAAATAATTAATTGTTCATATTTTCAACATATATTATTAACTTGTAATTTTTTAATAATTGCGAAACCGATAAATTGAAAAAGAAAAAATAAAAGTTAACTATATTCGCTTTAATCGGGGAATAAAGGAATACTTTATGAGTTATTCATTCTCATTGAAATTCTAAACGTTTATGACTTTTGATATCTTATATCATCAATGCAAATGGGTTCGATGACATTCTTGATGCCATTCACCTCGTATTGATTGTTACGATTGATGATATAACTGGATTGCGGATTTGTATAATTTCATTAATGTTCTGTTTTAACAACAAATTTTACTATTACTATTATACTATTATACTACTTTTCGACAAACTATATAATCAATATTACTAATCAGTATTAATGTAATTAAATAACATAAAATTTTTATTATTTGACAATTATTATTATCTTTTAGAATTAAGTTTAAACTTTTTTTAAAAATTATTATTAATTATTATTAAATAATTGTATTATTTGAAATGATATTATTAATATAAGTATCATTTTATAAAATATAAAATTATAATTAATAAATAGGAAAAATTCTAAAATAATAATCATTAAACAAAATTAAAATACGCTATACTACATATAGCATACATATAGCGTTTATAAAGTTTCATTTGTATATTTTATCATTATGTATCAATATTATTGTATCATAAGCTCATATTCTCATATATGTTTATAGTTTGATTATAAATTTACATTTATTATGTATATGAATGAATCATATTTTCACCATATAATTTGTTTAAATAAAAAATTGTTTAGATAACAGATATAGACAACGCATTGAGGAGAATACAAGAATGTTGTCCAAAAGTAATGTACGTGAGTTTACTGGGTAATCCAGGATGTCCCGATCAATTAACAAATCCAACGTCAACCGATGACGAGGATTATAATCGTTATAGACTCTATGCTATATATGCATTACCTTCGACACTTCGATTTTTGGATTCACGTCCAGTGACAATACAGGAACGAAAAGATGCCGAAAGACGAGGAAAATACTCGAGAACTATTAAAATGATTCCAGATTTATCACAAAAATTCGTTTCAAATACAATCGAAGATTTCGATGATATATTCTTCAATATCCATTATACTCCTTTACCAAGATCAATCCGTAATCCCCTTGATCACAAAGGTATAATTGCAATTTTGTAATTTCTTTAATATATCTTATTATTTTTTAATGATATATAATATAATTGAATAATGATATTTATTTGAATATTCTTATTCAAAAAAAAAAAAAATGAAATTAAAAATATTTCTTATATATAATTGATAATAGAAAATTGATTACAAAAAAAATAAATTTGATTTTATTAATATTAAAAGAATTAAATCTTAAATGTGTTATTATAAATATATATTAAATTTTACTTATATTATTTATCAATCAATATTTTATGAAAATATTGATTACAAAATCAACTTGAAAAAGCATGTTCATATAAATATTAAATCATTTGATGAATATGAGAATTATTATTTAAAATAATTAAACTATTTTTAGATTTAATTTTGAAATTATTTAATTTTAAATATTAAATAGAATATCATTATTCATATAATTTCATTTTATCTATTGATTATTTAGTTTTCAATAATTGATTAATAATTAATTAGTCATCAAATAATTAAATTTTACCAAATTTAATCAAATTTACTTAATTAAATTATTGATTAAAATTATTTAATTAGAAATAATGATTGATTTATTGATTATCTGATTAGAAATTTTATAAATTAAAAGTATTTCAATTATTTTATGTTTCAGGAGCATTTGGAAAATGTAAATATCGATATTCTGGAAAGAATTCAGAAGGAAACCGATTTATATCTAATAATGATCTTTGAATGTAAATTGAGTAAGTCAAGATATTTTTGTATATAAGTTGCGATTTTGTTTTTTTTATAAATGACAAAAAAAACAGTGATTAGATTCGTAGAACTGACAATGAATGAAACGATGCACAAATCAAATTTTCTTGATATTTTCTTTTTCTCTTTTTTAACCAAAAATCTCATCTACGTGCCTGTTTGTTTGTTCAATATTTATCTAATAGATGTTAATTTTTTATACATATATACATCGAATAAAATATAATTCATTATGAGTAAACGTACAAAATTTTATTATCACGTACACTGATAAATGACATAAATAAATGTCAAAGATTCTCCGTTTTGTTCCGATCGATTCGAGCGCCACATTATCCTTCAGAAACGGTTTCAAGAGAAACAGAAAACGCGCGCGTGTTTTGAATTCCAAAACTCTGTTTTTTTTTCTTCCTGTTATCGTATTAATTTTATTATTATAATTTAATGTTATTGGTCCTTAAACGTACACAACATAATAGTCTCGCAACAATATTTTTCACGCGCAGTTCGATCCTCCTGACAAGCTACGAACAAACACAGCACATTCAATTCCAAACTCATTTTTTACGGACGTATTGGCAAATTTTTCTAATGATCGTTTCTTTGACACGCGTTTACGAGAAGAACTTATATCGAAGGCAGTTTAAAGTATCGATTGTTAACCCTGTATTTAGGAAGAACCTTATGGATAAGTATACACGATCCATGTGTTACGCTATGTTTTCCTATATGCGATAATACCGAAAATTCGGTATTGTAATATAATTAATTAATTAAGTACGATTACATCAGCCTTTCGATTCGTCCCGGATGTAATTAGTTCAAATATTATTCTTAATATTATTCTTAAAAGAAAGTTTCGCGGATCAGTGTTTTGCATATATTTTATAATTATCATAACGTTTCGTATATGTTTTTATCTCAAAACACTGATATTTTTTTATTTTTTTTTTTTTACTTTTTTTTTTTTTTTTTTTAAAACTTTCCTTTGTTTTTAATTAAACAAACCCCCGCCTGTTTTTTTTTATTTTTTTTTTTTTCCTTTTTTTTTTTTTTTTTAAAACTTTCCTTTGTTTTTAATTAAACAAACCCCCGCCTGTTTTTTTTTATTTTTTTTTTTTTCCTTTTTTTTTTTTTTTTTTTTTTCTTTTTTTTTTTTTTTTTTTGTTAAGAATTCCTTCCGTTGATAATGATCCAAAGCCCCATGGCCTTATATTGTGTAATCTTATTGTGAATGTATAAATATAATATTTATATGAATATATTTAATAGGAATCGGTCATATTTAATTGCTTAAATACACCATTCCATCGGTCTCTGGCAACTCAGCGCGAGAAATCGTTTCGAGTATTGTACACACTGGAAGCATCTTTCTCTCCAAGAAAGGAAAGTGTCCACAATGCAAGCCACGTTCCAAACGCTGGAACCTTTTGTCCTTGGATTAATATAAAGTAAAATTTACTTCGTAAAATATAATATATAATATATATATATATATCGTTTTATGTTTTTTTTTTTCTTTCTCTGGAAGGATTTTAATAACAATATCTTATTGCTGCGATCGACGAATGTTTCCCAAAAATGTGTACGTTTGGAACGAGGCCGTGTCTATTAAAATTATAATAATACGATTGACCATGAAGAATTTTCATGCATGATGTTCAATAATCAATCTCGCCTTATGATTGGACGGATGTCCGTTTTAAAAATTTTCTTTCTTTATCATTTAAAAATTGTATAATCAACGAGAAGAATCAAACATCTTTTTACGGTACATTATATTGCACGAATTTTGCGTGTCCGTATCGATGTTCCATTGATCATCTGGCTAGGACTTTCTTTGCTCTGTAATAATATATAATATATATATATATATACGATGAAAGAAAAGGAAATTAATGAAGGAAAAACAAAAGAAAACGAGAAAATATAATCAAAAAAGAAACTAAAAAGAAATTCACTTGAAAAAAAATCATATATAGTACGATTTTTCATACATTCAGAAAAGGAAAAAAAAAAAAAAAAGAAATTGCAAACAAAATACCTACAAAGTAAACTTATCAGAAGCAAACGGAAGCTACAGATTAAAAATTCTAATTATATCAACTATGATCATTTACAAAGTAAACTGGACCGGTAATAAGGTAAATATTAATTTTCATGACCAAGATTTGATTTCTTGGATCTTTTTCAGAGGTTAATACCTCACGATCACTTTCTATTGAATTCTCGAGAATTTAGAGTCTAAATGATAGACTGTGCCCTG